AAAAAGAAAAAAGAAAAGAAACCTTTAGGTGCTGATACAGGGCTCACTGGTGTTCACGTGTCAGGTTCATAGTACCTGTTGGTTAAGGTGAGGCTTTACCTACATGGAGCCTGGCTTTGGGCATGGGAGAGCCTCACTCATCTCATCCGTAAAATGGGCTCAATAATCACTAGTTTGGATTCTGCTAGAGTACGTGCCATGTGCTGAGTGACTAACACATGTTAGGTTCGTAATCCATGGGTGCAATGAAGAATGGGCAAAGTAATTATGAAACTAAATGAAAGCAAATAAGCTCTCCTCATGCCATGTCCCTGTTCCCCCTTTTCTCCTTGGTTCTAATAACATCCCTAGCTGGTGGCCTGTTGGCACGCAAAGGCTCCGGCCTGATTGCGGCACATAAAAGGTGTTACCTCTGTGCCACATCTGGAGATTGGAGACGGCTAATTCACAGTAGCTTCTGGCTTCACTGGGAGCTGACACCTGTCTGTCCAATCTTAACCACTGATGTGTAAGCAACGAAAGCACCTGAAATGGCCTCCCAGGCCGTGCGATTCCAAGCCGCCCTCAAGGTCCCTGTGGACGGTGTGGAGAGGGTTTCAAGCATCTGGGTGTGCGGTGTGCAGCACCACCTGTAGACATCATGATAAGAAGGCACGGCAGCCTTCCGGGGAGAATTCCAAAGAATGAGCTTGGCTCTTGAGAAGTGAAAGGAGGAAATCTAGTGCATAAAGGAGCTTGCTGTGCCAGATTCGGCTCATGGATTTCAGGGTTTGGTAAAGGAGCACATGCCCCTGACTCCAGGTATCTGTGCTCCCCCCATGCCCTGTGTAAGGATACTGAGTTTCAAAGGCTCTTTGAGGAAAGGCATTATTGTTTCCAGTACATAAGTCTTCTATCCTCATCTCTCATCTAGAATTTATAGTGTTCATCTCCCTTTTCAAAAAATAAGAAAAAGGGATCTAGGCAGAAGTAACTCTCCTGCGAAGTGCCTGCGGCCTGTAGAAGCTGTAACGGGTTTTCCAATGGGAATATATAAAACCTCCCCTAAAAACTCCTCTCTCCTCAGGAGAAGAGCCGGCGCTCAGTGTGTGCCGCTCTCACAGCTGCCAAGCGTCCCCTCCCTGCTCACTTCTTCCCAGCAGTTCTCTGGCTCTGACTGCCTAATTCACCAGCTTTATCAAAGATAAACTTCAAGAGTGTCACGGGAAGCATCAGGAACGTCTCCAAGTAAAGAAGGCCTGTCCATCCACTAGCAGAATTCCAATAAAGACATCTTCTTGGCAGGGCCGGGCATTCTCTCATTTCAAGGAACATATAAATTAGCCTCCTTTTTTCTTTGGCCTTGCTAATTTCAATGAAAAACTCCCAGTGAGAGCTGGCAGCCCACAGCTGGTGTGGTGCCTTCTTCAAAGATACTTGCTCTGTCTTTTGCCTTTCACTCTCAGACTAATTCTTTATCTAGATTTTTCTTCCCTCTGTCTACCCACTGACCATGTAGAGCAAATATATATTTACTATAAGGAACCCACAGTTGAGGAGAGAGGTGAAAACAATACAGTGGCACCTTGGTTCATGAAGCTTAATTCGTTCCACAGTTCTCCTTACAAACTACATTAAATGAGAACTGAATCAAGTTTCCCCAAAAGGTCAACATGGAACCTAGCAATTGAATTTGATTTGGTTCTTCTTATGCAATTCAGTTTGCAACCAGAATTGTGAAAGGAATGAAGTTCACGAACAGAGGTAGCACTGTATTGGGTTCTGTTTACTTTTATCTTTGAACCCAGTCTTTGGAACTCCCTTTCAAATGGATGAAAAGCTAAGTCATTGGTTCACTGGTCTCTGTTCTGAAAGTAGTCTCCCTCTTAACAGGAAAAGGTAGTCACTGCTGTTCTTTTTAAAAAAAAACAAGCTTTGGGTCTCATCAGTCAGGCCGACAGAGTGACCGTGTGTCTTCTAGTAGGTTGGCTACAGAGCTCACAGTCTCTCTGAGACATTAGGTATAAATATGAAAATATGCATAAAGAGCAAATCGTTTGGGAAGTTGGAATGCTGACTTCAATCTTGAAAACTCACTTAGAATGAAAATATGTTTCTAAACATCAAACTTGTCCATGTGAAGTTGATAGCAGGGCTCAATCCGAAAGGAAAATGTTCTTGTCAGGTCCCTTGGCGAGGCATTAAATAAGCCACGCTGCATTTTTCTGGGCATCTCTTGCTGAACTCTGTACAGCTTGTGGGACCAGGACTTGCTTAAGCAGAAGCTCTGTTTCCCTGTCTCTATCACTTGTATAAAACCACTGGGAAACATTTAGCGATCTCTTTTGCAATCATCACAAAGCTCCCTGATCTACCATTTGAGGAACCAATCAGTGATCAGTAATGCAACTTAAGCAGGTACTATTTTAAAGGAAATTTTCATCTGCTCCAGACAAATAAGATCTGTGTGTATTTTGCTCCCCCTCCCCCATTTTTGGTAAGTGTCATGTACCATTCTCCAAACAGTTAAAGCAAAAAATCACGACTCAAAGGAGATTACAGTTTATACTCAACAGCATGGTAATTACAATTGCGTGTGGCAGAGTAACGGGACGTCATTACCTAAAGCAAACACGTAAGAACCATCCAGGACTTCAGCTCATGCTATACCCAGAGTGACCACACCAGTGGGAAGGGGACCTTCTGAACACAAAAGTTCCCACACAATTCCACTCAGTCAGAACTGTGTCCAAATCAATTTTCAGAGGCTACATCTGCTCTGCAGTTTGTGGGCTATGTAAGGTCACAGCTCATGGAGACCCCAAATCTCAAACCTTATCAACTTTCTGGAACTTTTCATTTCTTCTGAGCTTCAAAATACCTGCTGCTGGAGTCCCACACAACTAGACATGCACACTTGTACTCCAGGATAAGTCCAGGAGACACAGTTGTGTGTTCCACGTTGAGTATACAGCAGCCAGTTGATTGACACAGAGACACGGTAATTAAGGTTGCTCCCAGTTGATCAGATTCATGTGGTCCGCCAGTGGCAAGGACTTGTTTAGCCATCTCATTAATTTTACAAATGGAATTTGAAGATCTATTCTATACATATGAATAACATTAGCCACACGGAATGGGAAAGAGAGAACCGAGCTAGGAATGCAACACTGGGTATCCGGTTCTGGGAGCAAGCCATGTCACTTGCTGCTGCATTTCAGGACAAGTCATGCCTACATCACAACATGCCTTCATCACAAGATAAAAGGACTCCAAGGCCAAAAGCCAACAGCAGAGGTGCAACTACTGTGGACCTTTGCAGAGGCAGAGTGTTGCAGTAACTTCTCGCAGTTGGATCATATCAATAATACCAAACTGACAGGAAGCCACCTCTATTTACACACATAAAAAACCCCAGAGGATTGGGTGGTCGGAGGGAGTTACAGACAAAGACACACACACACACACACACACACACACATACACACAATTACAAACACATAACAGTGATCACAACCACTTAAAAAGATGAACAAGTAGGCATCTCAGTATATTTTCAACACTACTGTTTTAGCAAACACATTACTCAAAAAACTACCCTGGAAATTTTAACTAAGAGAGCTTTTTTTCCCTCTTTAAAAAATGTCACTGATGATGAGTTAAGTCATGCTTCATGCAACACAAAACAGCAGCAAAACAGGGTGAAGTCACATGGCGAAAATTGAGATACTTTAAATTAAGAAATATGCCCAAGCGCAGGAGGGGGAGAAAACTTGAGTTCCCCCCAGTAAGCAGTTTCATTCAGGAAATGGAGTCTGATAATCTGGCAATTTAATAGCAGTATTCTAAGCCTTATTGAGTACCACTCACAACGTGAAATATTCAAAAATGAGATGACCAAAATAAATATAAGGCAAAACAGAACAAGGCCTTGGTCTCTGTTCTGCGGATAAAGGACAGAAATCCTGCTCTACAAAGTGGCAGCTCAACACAGGGAGGAGCAGGTCACTGGGAGCGTGGATGAGACATGAAGACAAATGGCGCTTGCGTCTGGTGGACACCGTGACACAGCAGGACGACATGTGAACAGACATGAAGGCTAGAGACAAGCATCCTCCTTTTCAGCTTCAATAGCATTTGTTCCCACCATTGGTGCCGAGATTAGAAACAGGATTATGCCTTTCCTTTTTTAGTTTTCCTGCAAAGAAGTTAGTGCTGCATCTAAAAGAACCAACAAATCAAACAGGACAGCAGTAGGCTAATTTCAGTTTTATGTAATCCAGTAGGAGAGGGGATATATGTAATATATATAATATAATTATATATGTATATATATTAAACAAGGGAATGAGATTATATATACGTATATATAATCTCTCTCTTCTTGAATTCTTGGCAAATGGTTAGTCCTGTGGTTAGGAGTGAAGACAGAGGGTGGAGTTGGAAAGGAAGTTAACGAAGAGTGCATACCGCTTTCGGCTTCTGCAAAACGACAAGAAAAGAATTTAAAATCAAACAATTTGATAATAGATTGACTGACACCAGAAGGAGAAGGAATAAAACCTTTGTTTCAAATCATTTAAAGGATTCATGTGAAAACAAGGTTTTTCTGCAAAGCATGAAAACATTACCATGAGGGGGAAACCAACAACAGGGGGGCCAGGAGGTTAAACGCAGGCTGAAGGCAACACGGCGGGGAGGAGAAGCGGGCACCTCTGAAAGTCAGCACCTGGTCAGTTAGAAATGCGAGTGCGAAAGAAACAGTAACTTTGCAAATGCAGAAATGTTCGACTGGTTTTCTCAGAAACGGTCACCAGGTTATTTCTTTTGAACACATCCTACGTCCGATGTCTTATGAACCCCGTGTTGTGTCAGGGGCATGATCCACATCCCCTCAAACACACCTTTCTCCTGTGGAACCCTTGTGCTTCCACGCCGAGACCAAGCCACACTGGAGGATTCAAGCTGGCAGCAGCACACAGAAAGCCAAGAGAAAGCCAAAGTCTGTCGCCCCTCTTCTACAATAAGGACCATCTGAAAAGTCTGACCTATACATCTGGCTTGGCTGAAAATGTCTCCGATTTGGGACTCAGTGAGAAGCCCCATCAAAGGAAAGACTTTGGAGAGAGAGGGAGGGAGAGAGAGAGAGAGAGAGAGAGAGAGAGAGAGAGAGAGAGAGAGAGAGCTGGGTTCGTTTTTGTAGGATGGTGATGGTGGACCCAGGCTGAACTATTAACTGCCTTCCCCTTTCTTTCCCTGTGACCAAAGCTTGGCACATGGGAGACCACTGCAGATACTTGCATTAAGTTATTCCGCAACGGTCCGCCTATTATCTTAGCATCTGCATCACCTGCATCACAAGACAAGCTCTTTTTAAATATGCATAAAATTGACAGAGAACATGAGCTACATAAAGATTTCCTGATTGGGCAACATGAAGAGTATCATTGGCAAAATCCTAGGTTACCAAAGAAACAAGGTAAACTAACCACAACCTAGACAAGTCCCCCTTATCTGTGGAACAGCAGATAGCCAGGACTCTTTCAGCTTTTTTGCAAATGATATTCTTCACTTTGTCAACATGGAAAAGAAAAATGTAGGTTTATGTGCATACGGGTTAACTGCTGCAGCCATGTTGGACACCTGGCTGCCAAATCTACCATTACATTGTCCTTTCGGTCGATTTGGACTGTCAGAGTAGCTTAGCATTTGATCAGATTGACTTTGTGTGCAATCTGATCCGGTGGGGAAGGTAAGAGAAAACATTGGATCGACTTGCTTGCAATCCAGCGTTTTGGGTTGGTTGGTTGGTTGGTTGGTTGATTTAGTTGTCAGAGACACAGACACTGGAAGTCTGTGTTTATTCAGTCATTGGAGCTGGGGAGATAGCTCAGTAGCTTAAGCACCTGCCTGGCAAGTGCAAGGTCCTGAGTTCAATCCCCAGTACCCCGCAAAATAATAAATAAATGAAGTCTATCATTTATTGAGCCATTCACACAGATAATAAAAACTCCTTAAATGATGGTAACAGGAGACTTTTAGCTTTGTCCTGCACTCTACTCAGCTGTGAAGGTGTGTATGGGCACTGTCTGAACTTTAGGCCTATTTATCTGCAGGAACAAATGATAGCCCAGGGGAAGAACAGACTGTGTGTACCATTTCCAAAAACAAAGGAGTCTCTCAACTAGTTCTTTTTGTTCTCAAGCCATTGATCAAAACTGAGGAACGAAGACTCAGCTCTGTCTTATCTATAACACACATAGCTCTCCACCAAAGAAAGCTCCTTATTAACGTGATGCTGCCCTCTTCCGGTGCTGAGCCTCTATATTGACCAGGCTGTTATCTATTTCAAGCAGACCCCCATCCCTCATCAGTCTGATTTACACATAATTAAGTGCAAAATAAATAAATAAAGAGAGCTCCTGCCCGTGAGCTCAGCTCTCCTGGCTAATTTACATGAATCCAAGACTCTGCCACCTGGATTTCCGCAGTACCAGGAGAAGCACATATGGCGCACGATAGGCTGCTTGTAATTTGGCTATCAGGAGCGCCGGAGTCTCTCACCCTGGCTCTACATCAGGCCCGCTATAAAGGAGGCCAGAGCCCACCTGCTCTTTGCTCGTAGCAGGGCAAAGGGATTGAAAGGCTGCCCTAGGTTCAACACTTACAGGTTGAAAAGCTCAGGGTGACATGATTGGCTTTCCTTTGGGAAAATCCTCTCTGAATGCCCAGTGGCGCCCAAGATGCCAGGCTGGTCTGGGACACAGGCTGGTTGAGCATGCCTTGATCAGAGAAATGTACCCGGTTCCAAGCAAATAAATCATGCTCAGCAGCAACGCAGAGTAGATATCCCCACAGTGTACTTTCACATCATCAATGTCAGCAGGCCACTGAGTCACAGCAAACTCACTTACCGGCTCTCTCGGTTGGCGGACTTGTACTCAATGGCTATCATTAGGAGCTTGAGCTTCACAAAACACAGCCTGCAAATGAGATGGAGAGAAGCTTCCGGTTAGGCAGTAACATAAGGAGCACTGTTCTGACCTTTCAGTCTGCTAACGCTCATTATCCAAGGGAATCTTCATTCCGCCAACCCCATGCCATGGGGTGCCAGGGGTGACCTCCCAGTCTTCCCCATTAAATCTGCTTTCTCACAAGTGATAAGGGGCTGGATGTTCAGAGTGTAAATTGCACGCAGGCCTGGATGTCTAGACACAGACCCCGACCAGGAATCTGTGCCTCGGGATTTACACGGGGCCAGATTCATTAGTTACGCAGTCAGGTAGTAAAATGTTAACTACGGGGGGAGGGGGACTTGGAGCAGCTGGACCTGTTATTTGGATTCTGTTGCAGTCTTTTGTACAAACGGCTCATATTGTTGTTCCGAGCAGACCCCTGTGTGCTTGCAATGGTGGTAATAATACTTAGCCTCTGTGTAAGTGCCCAGCACATGACTGTCACTTTGTCACTCCTGGCTCCATCCAAGCTGTCTCACCTCATCTGCCCACAGCTCTCTGCAGCAGGCCAGACTGTTTGCAGGCTGGCTGGCTCCTGCCTCCTGCTTTTATTACTGCCCAGCCCCCAGCCACCCAGGCCTCCCCTCTCCTCCTGACCATCCTGCCTGGCCGCGTCACACCTTCCCAGGAGTAGGCTCCTGCTGCCCTCAGATTTTAGGATTTTAGGCTCACAATTCCTCCAGGACTGGCCTGAAGCTGCATCATTTAGCTCTTAGCCAACTTCACCCTGGTCGCGGTGGCCTCCTATTGTTTTTTGTTTCCTATGTCTGCACTTTCCTCTCTTCAACCAGAACAACTTCTTTAAGAGACTTGGACTTGTTTGAATTCCCAGAGTACGTACCAAATGGGTCCGTCCATACAGAAAAGCTCAATTAACAAAGATTTCCACTTACTGAGTTTCAATTCCAAGGAAACACTAAGTACAGCAAAACGCTTATGCATAAAAATGTTCAAGGTAGTGTTACTTATCAAGAGTAGAAAAATCTAAAGCAACAAAAATCTAAAGTGGTCATGTGGTAATAAAGCAAGGGTCATACGGTATTAGGCAGCACTCCAAGTGACTTTTTGCAGACTAGTTCAACATATGAATAACAAATACTATATAACAAGATACAAACATGTGACATAATACGATTCAATGAAAAAATATATTTATATACTGGTAGAAATAGAAGCTTACGTAACAGTGAGCCATAGACATCATACACTATAAGTTCCTGCAGTGGACGTATTTACTAATATCTTAAAGGCTGTTCAAATAATGAAACATTGCTTAACTGACAGACTGAAAAATGCACTTGTGTTTATTTAGCTCTAGCACGGGAAGGAGGATAAGACAGTGCATCAGGGTAATGTCTCCCTTGATGCCCCATTTACTCCTTAAGATAGTCCAGAGAGAGAGAGAGAGAGAGAGAGAGAGACAGAGAGAGAGAGACAGACAGACAGAGAGAGAGAGAGAGAAAGAGACAGACAGAAAGAAAGGGACAGAGAGAGATAGAAACACAGAGACAGAAATAGAGACAAAGAGACAGAGAGACACACCCAGAAACAGAGACAGACAAAAACAGACAAAAAGAGAGACAGAGACAGATAAAGAGAAACAGAAAGAGACAAACACAGAGAGACAGAGAGACAAAGAGACAGATACAAAGAGAGACAAAGAGACAGAGAAGCGAGAGACAATGAGATAGAAAGAGACAGAGACACGGAGAGAGAGACACACACAGAGACAGAGACAGACAGACAGACAGACAGACAGACAGACAGACAGACAGAGAACTCCAAATTTTAAGACTTCTCTTGAGAATTCTATTGTACAGGTAATAACACTAAGGCTCAGAAAACTCAAATAATATACCCTTTGCCCAGTGATTGGATAGTAGGTCTTTAGCCAATGCCTGGCAAGGCATACAGCATTTTCATCCCCAACAAAGTCTGTTTTGCACTAGAAGACACAGGCAATCTTCAAGTATACTGAGTGAATAATATAGTTCCAAACAATGACAAATGTTATGCAGAGGGCCAGGGAGATGGCTCAGTAGGATAAGCGCTTGACTGGCAAACGCAAGGATCTGAGTTCAATCCCTGGTTCCGGAAAAAAAAAAAAAAAAAAGGCATTTAAAAAAAAATATGAAGACAATTTTAAAAAAGAGAGAGAGAGAGGATAAAGAGTAACAGGAAAAGGAATGTTCCACTTAATGCAGTCCAGGAGGACCATTCCAAGGATGCAAAGGGCACAGGAGCATGCTGGTCAGGCAATGAGAAGACACAGAGAGAGTGTCTGGGGCAGTGGTGTTGAGCCTATGGCACATGGGCCCGCAGTGGGCTCTCCAGCTCTGAAAGGTTTGAAAGCCCTACAAGTTCTGCCATCGCTGGCCTAGGGAGTAGCAATAGTAAGTGCAAAGGCTCTGAGGCCGGAAAGAGCTCCAGGTACCTGAGAACAAGCAATAACACCAGCCAAGGTGGAGCTGGGAGAGCAAAACTGAGCATGGTCATGGGTAGGTCCGACAGCATGGTGAGGAGCAGGATTGTGAGGCCTTTGCCTGCCACAGCAAGGAGACTGAAACTTATTCCAAGTGAACACAAGCCCTTTACTTGGTCTTCAGTGGGGAAGCCACAGAACCAAAGCTATCCTTGGAGATATACTGCTGGCCAAGAAGGTGCTGGTAAAGGCCCGGTGCTTCCCAGAGGGAGATGAGACCGATCTCTCATTCCCATGTGTGAGGTGCTGGGGAGGTGCTGGTTCCCAGGCATTGCCTTTAACAGACAGTCCAACTTCAAAGGACCACGTCCATGCAAGTGTGTCTCTGCGTTCCGGGTGATCTGCAGCTTTTCTGCCAGCAGACACGAATGACCTCGCCTTCATGCTGATCACGTAGTTTGCTGAAACACCAACACATATATCCAACCACAATGGGGAAAATGCCCTTTTAATTTACGTCTCCCAGAATTCCACGAATGTGCCCCCTTTGTGGAGCTCCTACTTCTGCAACTCAAATTGTTTAAAACATCAGATAGCTTATGCTATGTTTATGGAACCAAATTACCAGATCAAGTAGCCACTACCTAATGTAAATAGTAAAGTTCCCCCACCAAAAAAAAGTCAAGGAGAAACTGATCTTGGCATGAATCATGCAAAGGTTCAATGTGCTGATATCCTACGAGTAACCACCATTCCATGGGACCACTCTCTGGTAGTTCATGAGATCAAAGATCTTAACTGTTTTCTTAATCCTACTGGTATATAAAGGAAAAACCGTTCATGGTAATGGCCAATTATTTCTTCCAAGTTACTACAATGCCATTTACCCACTGGATATAAAAAGAAAGGAGCCTCTTAATGCAGGAAAGTCAATAAAATCCATGTGGTCTTGTAAATATTTCTTAACTTTTTAGAGGATGACCAGCAGGCCAGTATCCTCATCTACCAAGTTTTAAATCCGCAATGTGCTAACTCTAAAATCCGTACCTACGAGGATTCTACACTGACTTTTAGAGGCCTTTTCAAGAGAATCCTTTTGAACCAAGAAAGTGGTTGCTCACTGGCTTAAGGACAGACAGGAAATAAGGACAGTGCTGTAACAGTGAATATATGCAAACAGGGCCACACTACAGAGTTCTAGACGCTGGCCTTCCAAATTAGCTGGTCCTGCCCTTCTCATATGTAAGAGAAGCTGCAGTCTAGAAAGGGAGCATAGCTGGCTCAAAATCAAGTATGTTTTACATGCAAAAGCCAAAAGAGGATAGCAAGTCTCATTGTAGTATACCCTACAGGTATGCCTCATAAGGACAGAAAAAATGAAGGGATGGGCCCAGGCCCACGTGAAACATGTTTTTTTTTATTGGCATAGTTGATTTTGAACAACTAGAAATAGATACCAACTGTTGGCTTCATATAAAAACTGGCTCTTGTGCCTTCCTTGATAAAGTAGGGATGGCTGCATTGGAAACACAGCCCATGTGGCTAAAACAGACTGGTCTAGCAGCACTTGCTTATACCATAGAGGGAGCAAGTCTCCCCCAAGATGCATGGTCCCCACCTCGCACCATAATCTGGCTTCTCACTCTTTGCTTTTTGTTACTCACTGCCTGCAAGCAAGAGGCTTCTAAGTTCTCAACCTCTGCTCCAAGAGGTATCATCTGTAATCAACAAAATAATTGAAGGACAATCAGGATTTAGGCTGGAAACAGAACCATGCCCCCCCCCCCCCGTGAGTGCTGAAATCACACTCTTTGTGTTAGCTCTTGAATCAGGGGGCAGCAGAGATGTAGACTCAAGGTGGGGGCTAAGTGGGGAAGAACAGATTGAGGTTGGTGTGCTCATCACCAGGTTTCTTTTCTCTCTTCCCTCTGGACTGAGTGCTGCAGTGTAGGAAGCAGGCTTTGCCCCCACCCGTGGCATTTTGTAAAGTACAAAAATCAGGCTGCCTATGAGGGCTAAATAAACAAATGCATAGATGAAAGGACAGTGGATCCTCACAAGTGATGGAGAAAAGGCAAAGTAGAAAACTAAGGACCTCTAGAAGGAGTACAGGAAGCTGGGATAGGATCTTGATATAAGAAGCTCCTTCATTTGTCATGTTCGCTGTAAGCAGACTTACTGGAAAAGAGGGCCTGGAAGGAAATGATAGTTGTTACATGTTCTAGGATCTAAATTTGACCTAAATCCTAAATTATGTAAAGATGCAAAGCCAGTTCTAAGAGGCAGACAGAAATGAACTCTTGAGCATATCTAGAGATCCTATCACATGGGTCCATGCCTAAGAACTTGCCTTCGGACTACCCAGAATTGCTGTCCTCTAGTTAAACATATATGTATATGTAATGTATTTTTAGTACAGGGTCTAAAGGGTCTCATTACACAGATCCGACTCATAGTGATCCTTCTGTTTTCAGCCTCTCAAGCACTGGGACTATAGGCACACACCACCATGCCCAGTCTCAATGCTGTCTCAGCAAGCCCCAGG